AAGTGAAACTAACTGGAGGAAACTATTTTTGAAAATGTTAATAGTGAGCAGTTAGATTGTAATGAAAATTATCCTGTAAGGTCTCACTATAGATCAATGAGACTCTGCAAGTTATTAGTTTCTTCTCAGAAACATAAATTCATAGAGTGATAAAATTTAAGGCCAGAAGGAACCATTATAATAATAATAGAATCTGACTTCTTATATAACATAGGCTACACAGTTTCTTAAATAAATAATTATTCGGATAAAAGTCTACAGACCTTGACCTTTTCATTTTCTCAAAAAACACCCCATTATAGATCAGGGAAGAAATCACCAGAGGTTACAATACTGTAAAGAAGATAAGAACAACCATACTGGCTCTCATCAAAGGTCCATCTAGCCCAACTAGTCCATCTAGTTATCTTGTCTTCTGACAATGGGCCCCAGAGGGACTGAACAGTACAGGTAATCTTCAAGGGATACATCTCATGTTGCAGATTCCCAGCTTCTAGCAAACAGAGGCTAGGGACACCATCCCTGCCAATCCTGGTAATAGCTCTATGGTCCATTGATGGACCTACTCTCCATGAGCTTATCTAGGCCTTTTCTGAAAGCTTGTGGGAAGATGAGAATCATAGGAGGCTGCACGGTTTTCAGGTGAAAGCATAACCAAGTGAAGTGAAGAGCAGTTGCTGAACTCTGACCAACTAATGTATCCTGATCTAAAGCTGCAGACTTGACTAGTCAAATAGTGGGACACTGTTTTATTTCAGACTAAATATTATGCCAATAAATTACATTTCTGTGAGCAATGTGCTGCTTTAGTACAAATTTAATTATAGTGAACTATTTAAAAAGCCTAACAATTGTGTTGATGCTTGTAAGTTTAATAGCCCATGATTAAGACCAGGCATCTGGTCCATAAAAGTTATTGCAATGAAGCACATAAAGAACATTTTGTCCATAGGACTGCAAGGTCAGATTCCAAACTGAAGGAAAACTTACCAAAATTTTCTCCTTAGTGGTACCATTACAGGGGGACTATGCAGGAGCAACTGCAAAGGAAATGCCTTCTATGGATCTCCAGTAAGTACAAGATGATATATGACAGGGATAGGGAACGTCAGCCCCGGTTCATCATTGGGGAGACTGCGTTAGTGCTCCAGCCCCCTCACCCACAGAGCTGGAACACGCAAAATCTACTAGCCTGGGCCCCCTAAGCTCTGGTGTGCAAGGGGAATGTGGGGAGTTTCTCAATCTCAGTTGGGGCCTCTCACTTTCCTTCTCACTTGTGTGGTCCCTGACTGATTTTTCTGTGGGTCAGCGGCCCCCGACCCAAAAAAGGTTCCCCACTCCTGAATTATGATGTTCTTTGGGTATAGTTTGAGTGGAAGTGAATGTGATCCTGTACCACTAGCTTCCACTCAGAATATACCCAACAACAAACTTCATAAATCATCTTGTACTAAACTACAGGAAGATGGCTGGGCGACAGCAGGAGCCTCAGCAAGCGTAATCAGCGCTGGTGAAGAAGTTTTCTATTTGACAAGCTGTTCTGTTTTGACATAATTACCACTACCCAACAGATACCATAATTATTTCCTATTTCATAGATCCCAAGGCCAGCAAAGACCTCTGTGATCATCTAATTCTGGAGTCTATGGCCTGAGCACTCCTCCAATCTAGCCTGCAAAATATTTTTTAAAAGTTATTTAATCAGGCCCATGTGGCTGCTGGATGGGCATGGAAGGGAGAGGGTGGGCAGCACACAGGGACTCACTTGCACACATGGCTCTCAGCAGCACACAGGCCCCTGGTGCCCACATAGTCCCAGCCACAGAGGGTGCTTATGCCACAATGAGACCCGTGGTGGCCAGAGAGCCCCACAAGCTGATGCACCTTTGTAGCCAGCAAAGCAGTGGGTTTCACTTTTGGTTACCTCAGCCAAGGATGGGGTATCTCAGCATGAGGATGTGGATGCTGGTGAGGTGTGGAGCCAGGTGGGATGTCAGTGTGAGGATGCAAATGTTAGCTGTTGGGGCAGGCGGGATCCCAGTGTGAGGGTATGGATGTTAGTGCGGGTGGGAGGGAAAGGAGGTGGCATCCCAGTCTGAGGACATGAGAGAATCAGGCTGAGGACTCAGTTTCATGTCTTGTAGGATCTTGGTTTCTGTGTGGGTTCCTGGACACAGGGGGAGACACTATCAACTTGCATGTACTGTATTGCCAACTCCAAAAGTTCAAAACTCATGAATCAACCTTCTTCACTCCCCAAAGAGAGATTGGCTTCTGGAAATCACAGATGAAAATATACTTGGGGATCTTTTTATTTGGCATCTGATGTTTGTGTTTTGTTTTGTTTTTTTGATAGCTTGCATACTTTTTGTTTTCCCTTTCCTTTTACTTTCATCTTTGAGTCTATGGGTTTTTTTCTATTAAATAATCTTTTTTATTTATTTTCACTGCAAGCAGGTATCTGGTATGCAAACTGTGAACTGTGTAAGCCAGGAATGTCAAACTCAAAGACAATCTTTGGCTTTCCACTTTCATACTAGTTAACATTCCTTTTGTAATAAGTTACTTATTGCCTTAAAAATGTTTTCCAGCATATCCCCAACTACTGTGGTGTCCAACCAGTTCTGAAGTTCTGAAGCAGTGGCCCTTATAGTGGTTACCACTAAAGCAAACTAGCAACACTCAAATGGCCAAATAGTCACATTGTTCAAGCCAACCAGCCACACTCAACCAGCCAATAACCACATGTGCATTAATTAAATAACAATTTAGACCCAATGTTTATAGAAGGATCCAACTAAAAACTCAAGGGATCAATGAAACACTCACACTAAATCCATTTAGGTATTTATAAAGTTCTCATCATGTTAGTCACTGATCTCCCGGTTTATTCTGGTTTGTTTTTCATCTCCTTTCTCTGAAGCAGCAGGCATGTCCATGGCTGGAAATGGGGCATTGGGTGGGGAGGACCAGGATTCTGAGCATTCTCTCTTTAGTACTTGGCAGGTTGGTTTTTGCTCACATGCTCAGGGGCTAACTGATTGCGTGTGTGGAGGGGCAGGAGCCAGGGGCAGAAGGGGGCCCTGGCCAGGGGGTTGGTGTGTGTGTGTGTGTGTGTGTGTGTGTGTGTGTGCGTCTGTGTGTGAAGGGAGGACAAGGGGATTGAAGACCCCCTCCCCATTCCAAAGATTTGTACCATGATGTTACTTGCTCTTTTCCTTCTTGTCACCTCAGGGAACAAGAGGAGAGTGCAGAGCACGTCTGCCCTGACCTGCCCAGCCAAAGTGAGGGTAATGCAGCAAATTGTGCCCTTTCCTCTTGCTTCCTGCCAGTGACAGGAAGGGGAATAACAGCAAACAGCATCCCGGTACAAATGTCAGGTGGGCATGCCCCCAGCCAACTCCTTTAATCTGCTTACCTGCCTGCTGCTTAATGCAGAAGCCTGCAGGAGATCTCTTGGAGACAGGTTGAGAGCATGCTGCGCCTCCTCCTGCAGCTGAGTGCCCCAGCTGGTCATCTCCTTCTTGCCAGAATAGCACAGTGGGGTGCACCGGCTTACTTTCTGGGTCAGACTGGCAGTGACCCTGGGGATTTTTGCCTTTCTCTACAGGATGTGGGTATGGATAATTTCGCTTCCATTGAAGTTGCCTTGGACACTGGTGCACCATGATCCCTCCTATTTACTAGCTGTGGGATATAATAGTCTAGTTTCCTTTGTCTAATTTCAGTTTAATGTGTGCATGCTGCTGGTAGCCTGAAGGTCAGACTAGATGAGCTGGTTGTCTCTTCTTAGGGGTTTCGACTTTGGTTGGACGAATTCTGGAGATCTCATCACATAGCATTATCTTTAATTAAAAATTAATCTTTAATTCCTGGAGACTCCAGGATAATCCTGAGTCTAGCCTTAAATTCTATTACTCTAAAAGTAATCGGTTATCTCCAGATTTTTCCAGGTAAAATTATAGGCAAACTAATAAATGACATTATAGCATGCTCAGATGGCTACACTGGTGCTTGTGCTTACTGCTGTATTGCGCGTCTTGCAATACAGTATTTGAACTTTCTTGAGGCCTTTGCTCCTGAAATCATCATATTAAAGTTAGCTTGCCTCGTTTTTTGTAATTTAGTTCTTCACAGCCACAAGACTCTGAAAAAGATTAAAAACAGGAATCTTAGAGGCAACTAAAAAGACATTTAAAGTTTTTTTTAAATAATATGTTGTCATATTTATGCCAATCTCATGATTTGATGGGTGGTTGTGGTAACCAGACGTGATTCCTGAGCGTTTGGTTAGACAAGGTGGAGTGTGATATTAGATTCAGTAGTAAGGTTGCCAGATGGTTTCAGCAAAAATACCAGACACACTTGACATTACATCTTATTTAGAAAATACCGGACATTTCTATTTTCTCAATTTGTTCCCCGAACAGAAAGCTCAAATACTGGACTGTCCCATTCAAAACCGGACACCTGGCAACCCTGTGTAGGGAGACACAAGAGGTCCTGTGGCACCTTGGAGACTAACCAAACCCTATAGCCCCCTGAGCAAAACCCACTTCATCAGATGATTAGGAGTGAGGGGGTGGCATGAGATCTCTCAATGGACAGCAGGGGAAGGTCCCAGGGCAACAGCTGGCCCTTGCATTCGAAACGCAGCCGCGGTACCATGTGTCTGCGCGAGGGAGGCGGAGCGGCTGACGCGTCGTAGCGAAGAAGGAACGATCCTTTGTTCCCTCGTGACGCCCAGCTCCATCCTGGCCCGGCAGCCCTGAGCCACGGCACAAACTACAACTCCCAGCAACCTCCGGGGGCGGGGCCGGAAGTGCGCGGAGCCGGCTGCTGTCTGGAGCGGAGCGCGGGTGATTCGGGGACGCTTGCGCGGCTGGAAGCGGCCTGTGGCGGGCGTAGCGAAGAAGGAACGATCCTTTGTTCCCTCGTGACGCCCAGCTCCATCCTGGCCCGGCAGCCCTGAGCCACGGCACAAACTACAACTCCCAGCAACCTCCGGGGGCGGGGCCGGAAGTGCGCGGAGCCGGCTGCTGTCTGGAGCGGAGCGCGGGTGATTCGGGGACGCTTGCGCGGCTGGAAGCGGCCTGTGGCGGGCACCATGGCGCTGGCCGAGCCGGGCTGGCCGGAGAACCTCTCCCTGCTCAAAGTGAGTCTCTGTCTGTGGGGGGCGGGCCTCCCCTTCCCGGCGCCTGCGGGTTTGGGGG